AGAATTCTGGCCTATGCCAAGTACCAATGTTGAAAGTGGTGACTGAAGACCAGAAAATATCAAGACCCCCAAATCCTAGGAAAGATTAAAACAAAGATGTGATGTTCTCTTCTTGTCCCTCTATAGTTCACCAATGAAGCAAATTGCTATAGTTCACCAATGAAGCAAATTGCTCTGATGTTTTTTAGTCCCAAACCATTACATAACTTCCAGAGTTCCAGCCTTCTACCTTTTCATTCATGCACATGGTTGAATTAAAGGTGAGGCATTCCAAGCTTGCTCTCCCCCGCCCCGCCCCACCCCAGCCATCTTTAGGGTTGTGCAAAGATCAGCAGTTAAGTGTCAGGTTCTCCTCTATTCTCAAGTCACCACATGGTCCAAACTAGAGTGAAGGATGAGGATGAGTTGTTATAGAATCAGATTCTAAAGAACTATTCTTCACAGCTGGAATAGCTCAATAGAAGCCTTTGGCCTGCAAGGTCTTTTATGCCTGTGTTAACCAGCTTCACTGCCTGCAGGTCAGCATCTCCCTGCAGCCAGGTAACTGATCCATGCACAGCAGGTGGCATTCTCTTAGGACCTTATCACATTAAGATAAAATTCATTTATATTAGCATGCACCCCATATTTTTTTAGGACTGGATGTTTGCTGTGTTCAGAAGGGATGCATACTCTCCCCATCATACCTGATTATTAGTTTAAAAATACTACACTTTGGAAAGTTGGCTCCTCTTAATCCATTTAAACGCCTCCTACATTACTCTCCCACCCCACTCCAATATTGTGCAGTGACGTAGCTTGAAAGTCTCCAACTACAATTCTTGCAAGATTTTGGCTGACAAAATGCATACTGATTTTATGATCATGCATTAAAAATAGCACCTCAACAACATATAGAATCATCGTAAATAAAAAACACAGAATCCCATGTTCAATCACTTCATTTTTGTGACATTTTGCAGACAAGATTCCAACAGGGCAAATGATAGGACCCATTAGAATCATATCCAAAGAGTCTCAAAAATGGGGTATATCCCAATGTGAGAAGGTCTCCTATCACTGGTCACCATTACTGCTGGCGGCCTCCCCAGTTTGACAGAAGCTGAATGAGAGAAAGCTGGTAGGACAGTGGTCTGGGATCCTCTCACAAAAAAGTACCCCCTTCTAGTGAGCAACCCTTCCCTACCAAGTCTCTGCCTTACTCTGCCTTACTGATGCTGCCTTCAAGAAGTAAATTCATGGCATTCAAAAGCAGAAAACAGCCTGAACAGAGTGAGATACATTGGTTGTATTACATCATCAGCACAAGAATGGAGGAGTGGGAGAAGGCAAGCAGGCTTTGGGCTGGAAACTCCACTGTCTTCCTGCCTGCTTTCTTTCACGGTTCCTTACTTAAGAAATACAATAGTGGTCACTATGGCAACACATGTTCCCTTGGCACCTGAACATTCACAGGTGGGATCCTTTGAGCTTTGATTGTGGTTCCCAGCCCTAGGCAGGTGGGACCTAGCCACCAATGCTGCAGTTGCTCTTATAAGGATATAAGGATGCTGTGGTGACTCATCTCAGTCCAGTCTTTGTGTCAGTAGTGCCACCTGCATTTTCTGCCATTGTGAGTGGGTGCTGACATCTCAGAGTGTGGCCGGTACTGTGCCTAACCCAGTGGAGGACCTCTGTATTAAGGACAAAGGACAGGAATGCAGCATTTGAGAAGAAAGGAGGTTGCTCTGTGTGGGAAGTACTAGGCTCATCTGCCAGTACCTGTTACTCCAAGGACGCTGACATTTTCCAGATATCCCTGCAGGGAAACAGCACCTGATTCCACTTAAAGTTTGCAGCATCTCTCCTCCCTACTCCCACACCTCACCCCAGAAAACATGGAGCTCTCACAGAACAATAATGTAATTGGCTGGGAAAAAATCTCTTCAGGATTTTCCATCAAAATCTGGAGTTGGCTCAGACAGCGCTAACACACAAACACATGCAAACCAGAGGCCCCAAGATACTCATGAAAGTATGGGTTCCCCCAGAAAATGTGTGACCCTGACAGAATGAAGCCCAGCATAACAAGGAGTGACTGAGACCTGAGAGACAGCAGATTCCCGCAGCAGGGGTGACCCAGTCTTTGGCCCCATAAAGAACAAACTGCCAGCCGTCTGGGCCTCTTTAGCATTTGTGACCTTTCACCTCAGAGATTCCCACCTCCTTCCTGCTGTGTGCAGGCCTGCCTTACAACATACATGGACATCTTACGGCTGCTTCTAATATTTCTTTATAGTATTGTTTTATACAAAATATATCTGCGTGTGTCAACAGTGAATGGGTATATAGACATTTATTTCATAGGAGCAGCATATATGTTGAAGTTGCTGAGGCTGCATCTACACCAGTGGTTTGCAACCTGTGGGCCGCAGCCCAACAGTGGGCCACAAGAACGAAAATCCGGTCCACGAACCTCCTTCCTATTTATTTTATTTTATTTTTGCTCCTTTCTGCAGAGCTAACCAGCCTTTTGGTACCAATGTTGGAGAGTGGTCCCTTGTCAAAGTAGTCCCTGATCAAGTGGATCCTGGTCAAAGTGGGCCCTGGTCAAATGGGTCCTGGTCAAAAAAAAGGTTCGGAACCACTGACCTACACTGTAGAATGAATACAGTTTGACGCCACTTTAATTGCTATTGCCCAGTGCTGCGGAATCATGGGAGTTGTAGTTTTACAAGGTCTTTAGCCTCTGCTGAAGAGTAGTAGTGGCTCATCTAACTACAAATTGAACCTTGGCAGTGAACGTGGGGATTATAACGACTTCTCTTCAGTTATGAAGAGAAGTACAAAAATATGTTAATGTACTACACCACATTGTTGATCCCTCAGGAAAATAGTCATTACATTATCTTACTTCCTGTAGGCCTAAAGCAGCTTGTAGCCATTTTGGCCAGAGGGGAAGACTCACTGTAGACTACTGTTTACTGAAATTGCTTGTTTCTGTCATAAAGCATTCCTTGCTAACTGGCCTCCTCATAGTAAAGACAAGAATAATTTATCTTCTTGAGAGATCTGATAAAACATTTTCCTTAGTAGTGGCTATAGTCACTCCTTGTTATGCTGGGCTTCATTCTGTGTGTGCATATTTTCAAGTTGCCTGTTGTCCTATGGGGGCATGCAACATCATTAAACTGGAGAAAAGCTCCTAAGGAGATTGGACAGCATAGAAAGGACCCATTTAGAAAAGAAGGGTGCCATTCTGTAAACAAAAGCAACAAGCCCCTTGAGAGATTGTTTCCAAAAAAAAGCCTACAGAAAAAGATGAAGTCAGCCCCCTTCTACACTGTCCTTATATCCCAGGATCTGATCCCAGAATATCTTCTTATCCCAGATTATGGCAGTGGAGACATATAATCCAAAGCAGATAACTTGGGATCAGATCTTGGGATATAGAGCAGTGTAGAAGTGGCCTCAGTTCAATATGAGCAGCATTCTACTCACATATTGCAATATGGTATGGCATTGCTGTGTTTGCAGTACGCTTGGGCGGTTTCGTTCGTTAATTTTGTAATTCGTTATTAATTCGTATTTAAATTAGCTTACGATCCAGTATTGAGCCATGCAGGAATAGTGTGAGGAGTAAATTAGATTCGATTTTTTTCAATTTATTTCGTAATTATTTTGTAATTATTTCGTTATTATTTTGTAATTATTTCGTAATTATTTTCGCATGTCTGGTGCAAGTTTTATAGTTGTTGTTTGTTTTATCACACCAACAGTCAACAACAGAGGGAGAGGGAAGCTTCAGAAGTTCCCCCTGTCCCATTTGGAGGTTTTTTTTAGCATATTGCGCAATCGCGTCCACCATTAATGAATCGATTCGTAATTATATGAAATTTCGTATATTTCAAAATTTTTAAAAGGAAAATTTCAGAATTATTAAAAAAAACGAAACGCAAGGGCCCCCTAAAAACAAAACGAGTTTAGAGCCAATTTTTCCGTGGTTACCCAAGCCTAGTTTGCAGCTGTTAAACATGAATAAGTTGCTTTTAGATGATAGGTTGCTGGTACTACCAAGCAAAACATATTGTGTAGCTAGTCTTTTTCAGTGGTAAAAAGAGAAGGGAGAAGTGCTGGGAATACAAGAGTGAGTTACAGATGGAAGATATTGTTTGGACTGCTACATCAATCCCCGCCAGTACAATTCAGTGAATGAGGCAGGATGATAAAAGCCTTGTCTTGAAAGCACCTGTGGCCTTGCTGAGGATGATATCCTGTAAGAAGCAAAGAAACCATGAATGTTGGTGTGAGCTTTGGCGGTAGAAAGTGGCGGGTGGAGTTTGCCACAGAGTCTAAAAATGAACATTTTAAAAGGGAAAGGTTCACAAAAAGGCCAATGGTTTTAAATAGGTGGGAGGGGGTCTTATCAGAATTTCACTTGGAAGAAAGCACTGTCTGTAAGCTATTCACAGAATTCCCTGTGTATAGAGAGGAATAGACCAAAATGACTTGCAAACTGGTTTGAAACAAGCTTGAGATGATGTTCTGTGATAGGGAATGTTTGCTGATTATTCACTCCTTAACTTTCATGTTATAATCTCCTGAGAGCCAGTATTGTTCTAGCTATTAGCTAGTATTCAGACTGTCACATTCAACACAACATTCTAAACAAGGAGAGTTAAGCTAGTGGCAAAGGTTAAGCGTTGTTGCAAAAAAAAAAAGTATTGCAGTGTGTTTGCTTGGAAAATTTGATATTTCCACAACGTAATAACTACTGTGTTGACAAAGGGGTGGATACAGTTTAGTCATAGCAACTTGCATTTTGTATTTATGGCATAATAAAACAATAATAGCCGTTTCTGAGTATGCAGTGTCAATGCACATGGCATGTGTTAATGCCATGTTAATGTCACCATTTTCAGGGTAGGTATAATGCACACCTAAAGCTGCCCTGGGACCCATGTAGATTGTGCTCTAGAATTATTTGCACTTCAGTTTCAGGATAGTTTTGTTTTTCCCAGCCAGGTCTCTAGACAAACTCTACAATTTTGCTGATTGCTCTGGCCTTCACCTCATCTTTGCATTGAATGCTTTGCGCCGGAACCCCAACAATTCCTGGAACAGCTCCAATGCCCTCAGCCTGCTCAAATATAGTGCCAGCAAGAAGTACAATATATCTTGGGAACTTGGCAATGGTAAGTGAGTTTGATTGGGAAATGGAGAAAAGAGAGAGGAAGTAAAAGAGACATTGGAATCCACTTACCCTCACTGACAGAAACAGTGGAGCCGCTGGTGGCTCAATGAGTTAAACCCTTGTGCTGACAGGACTGAAGACTGACAGGCCAAAGGTTTGAATCCAGGGAGAACGTGGATGAGCTCCCTCTGTCAGCTTCAGCTCCCCATGCGGGGACATGAGAGAAGCCTCCCACAAGGATGGTCAAACATCAAAACATCCAGGTGTCCCCTGGGCAATGTCCTTGTAGATGACAAATTCTCTCACACCAGAAGTAACTTGCAGTTTCTCAAGTAGCTTCTGACATGAAAAAAAAAAACCTGACAGAAATAGATGCTGCTATGCAGGTAGCAGGAAAGTATGTATGCATGTGTTCAGTGCAACTGCTAGTCACAGAGGTGCAGTAGTAAATTAGCCTAAAAGAGATTCCAGTCTGGATAATGTTAGGAAGAAGGGGGTCTACACATAAAATAGCTTTTCAGTTTCCAGACAAAAGAGGAATCTTGCAAGCTTATGCAGGAGTTAGTACAATTGAACTGAACTGAACGGATTCATAGAATGGAACTGTAAAGAACTTTAATACTGATGCTGCCAATTCCTTTTGGGTAGTGCCTCTAACATGGCGAAAGACATACTGAGCTCCCTTTGTAGCATACTTGGTCTAAAATTGATAAATAATGATTTCTATTTGTTTTCAGAACCCAATAACTACCGAGCTCTGACAGGGCGAGCAGTGAATGGCACTCAGTTGGGCAAGGACTATATGCAGCTAAAGAGCCTGCTACAGCAGATCCGTATCTACTCCCGAGCCAGTCTCTATGGGCCGAATATTGGGAGACCTAGGAAGAATGTTGTGTCCCTTCTTGATGGGTGAGTAATGTGACTCATGGGATGGGCCAGAAAACTTGGAAGTCTCTCTCATACAATTGAATTCTAGGACCTTCACAACCACAAGAAACGACTCCTTTTTAAAAGTAGCTGTTCCTTCTCTCTCTCTTTCAAAAAAGAAGGAAACAATAAAGGAAAGAGTTAAATGTAAACACACACAGAGGTGTAGGTGTTTTCCCCACTTGTATGTTTTCAGCTCAAGTTTTCATCTGTATTGTAGTGAAGAACAAATTGAAAATACTTTTTATAAGAAATTTCCAAAAGATGACCAGGCTGGCATTTAGAAATATACCAAAATTTGGACAGGATCAGATATAAATTTTGGGGACAGTGGCAACATGAGCCATTGTGTCTCTTTTAACATTATGATATATGCCAGGGAACTGCTGGAACTGAAGGTTTGAAATTCTGGTTTCCAAATCAAATCTGATTTTTTTCTTTTAGTAGCTCCACCGGAGCTACAGGAATTTTTAATGTCCAATCCCTGTAAAAACATTCTGAACTATGTTATGGCCTTAGAGTGGGCAACTAAAGGATTTTTGTACACGACTTGATATGTGCTGCATAATAATCATGTTCTTCTGATCCTATTTTATGCTTTGTCTTACCTTGCCACATATTTAACTTCAATTTACACCTTAGATTTCTATCTGTGGCTCCTTCTACACTGCCATATAAAATCCAGATTATTTTCTTTGAACTGGATTATATGGCAATGTTGATTCAGATAATCCAGTTCAAAGCAGATAATGTGGATTTTCTGCTCTGATAATCTGGTTTATATGGCAGTATAGAAGGGGGTCTGTGTTGATGCTACAAGAACTGTTTTGGTTTTGCTGTGCTCAGACTAATCTGATTATAAGAGTTGTCTCTGAAGACTGTCAGAAAAAAGGTAACTTTAGATGGAAAACTATCAAACTGTATACTCTGGGATTTTTAAAAATATATACCTACACACACACACACACACACACATTTTAAAAGCAACCAGGTTTCCTGCCAACTAGTACTGAATGCAGTTTTCACCCAACAGAGCTGTATCTGAGACAGGATGGTCAGTTAAGGGAACTTGTTGTCCTTTGTTTCTTTAGCAGTGCTGAGGTGACTGTCTTTGGGGCAGAGAGGAGAACCAGAGCCTTGTATGTACACAGGTGCAAAGAAATTTCTACATATGGGACAGCCAGCCCCTTTTGATGAAGTGTTAATTAGGCTGTTCAGGCAACCAGAGCTGTTGGGAATTGGCTATATCTGTTCCCTCCTTTTTATGAAGCAGGTCTAAGGTCACAGTGTTTTTTAAAAAATGTGGAGACTCAAGGGAGTTGCTAGGCCTGAGGCTGAGGAGATGATCCTAGCAAGATCCAAACTTGAATCTAGACATCAAGTGAGATTAATGGGGGAGATGTAGAATCACATAGGGGCTTCTGGCTGGTCTCAGAAATGTAGATTTAATAACAATTAGGCCCCTTCTACACTTCCATATAATCCAGATTACCAAAGCAGATAATCCACATTATCTGCTTTGAACTGGATTATATGAGTCTACACTGCCACATAATCCAGTTCAAATCCAATAATCTGAATTTTATATGGCAGTGTGGAAGGGGCCTGAATCTATACTGCCATAAAATCCAGCTCAGTTATTAATCTGGATTTTATATGGCAGTGTAGAAGAGGTCTAAGTGTTTATGAGGTCATTCAGTTAAGTATATATAGAGTTGGATGGCTTGCTTATGGGATATTAGGTTCTACTGTAACAGTTGCCTTCATGTTTCTTGTTGATTTATGGTGACTTTCATAGGACTTTTATAGATTTTGATGCCCAAAGATATGAATGGGATTATTAAATGAATGTGCAAATCCAGTGGCAGTCACCATGATAACATTGCCTCCATCTTGAAAACCACATTTGAGGTTCTTGCTGTTCAGGTAGTAAAATCGGATCTTTCTGGGCCTTTTCACAGAGCCATATAACTCAGAATATCAAGGCAGGTAGTCCACAATATCTGCTTTGAACAGGATTATCTGTGTCCACACTGCCATATAATCCAGTTCAATATGGATTTTGTATAGCTGTGTGGAAGGGGCCTCTGTCTATTGCAAGGTACAATGGGTAAAGAAAAAAGGAAGTCTGAGTCTCTGTACCTGCAGTGCTTACATGGAAGAGAGAATTGCATGAGGCATCTCTTAACCTCCTTCCTGCATTGTATGCTCCACCTACCAAAATTCTCTCCTCAGAACCCCTTCATTGCATTTAAGACCTTTACTTTTAGATTATTAACAAACAATTTCTGGTTGCAATTAAGCAAATTACAAAGAGATGTTTTCTTTCCCTTTATTGCCTTCCTGAAAAATAAAAAATGTTTGGTGGGCAGCAGGTAGGTATTGTCCTATAATATCTCACTCCTTCTTCAAACGAAGCCCCCTTCTGTTTATTCCAGATGATATGGTAGTGGAGACTCCTAAAATTCAGTTCAAATCAATATAACCTTGGATCCGTTCCTGGGATATAAGAAAAATGTAGAAGAAGCCTAGCAGAGTGGTTGCTTTTGGATCACAATTTTGAGGAGGTTAAGAGCATGGGAAGGAAGGTGTTGTCATAGTGTAGTGATTCCTCTTTCTATGTACATCCTTACACACCTTCAAATAATCCTTAAAGAAGGTTAGAGGGGTCGCACTGGAAGTTTTCAGGCTGGATCTGCACTGCTCAGGATATGATCCCAGATTATATGCTTTGAACTGGGTAATATGAGTCTACACTGCCCAATAATCTGCGTACTGTAGATTTAACCTCAGTCAATTACAATTTTCATTGTGTGTGGTGTTTGTATATCTGTAGTTTTCTCCACATTGATTGAAATACTTAGCACTTGAATAAAAATGTAAACCAGGTTTCATAGCTGAGAAATTTTAAACATGTACGGGCCCCATATTTTGGGAGGGAGGCATAGAGAAACATTGCCCCTATAAATCTACCCCCTTTGAAATAAGATGTGTTCCAGATTTTTCAGCTTAGTTTCTTAGTGTGATATTTCTTGTAAGATGAGCTCACATTTTTCCCTTCAGTTGTTAAGAGTTGTTATATAGGACAAACATAAAAATTATTACTGTGTCTTATTTAAGAAAAAGCCACCAGTTAAGACATCTGAATGCATATAATTTTAGGAAAATAGGTACAATTCTGAGGCAAAACACACAGTTATGTGGTCAGCCTGACCATATAACAAAAAAAATCCTTTGAAGTACTTACACAAAACATCGGGCCTCTCTAACAATGGAAGCCAGAATAATAAAAACACTTGCAAAGGGTGAAACTAGAATGAATATTACCAGACATTGTTATGTAATAGATGTTTGATCATGCAATACAGATGATCACACAGAAAAAATGGATATCATAGAGAGAAAAAAACATTAGATAACACTTAATGGGTGCCATTTTAGTGGCTCATGCTACACAACAGCTGTCTATACCATACTAGTAATCTAAGCTGTTTCATTTTGAAGCATTGCAAAATGTAAAACCATTTTAAATTTTCATATTTGTTAAAATCCCTTCACACTTTCTATTTTAGATTTACATAGTCCTTCTAATCCATGGCTGTGAATGTGATCAATTGACCTATTATGCAACAGATGTCAGACAGATCATGGTGATCACATATTTTGACATATGTTGTTCTGTACAGTCATTGCTTGGTCGTGTATGATTCAAGGGAAAGATGATGTTCCAGCTCTCCTACTACAACCAGATATGAATTTTGAGGATGAAGAAACTTTAAAATATATATTATAATAACTGTTCCAAGTTCCTGTGCTGCACCTGGATTCATGTAGGCACTATTGTACCACCCTAGTAAATACTCATTTTTGTTGTATAAGTATCATAATCATCAAGTAGATACTGATTCCTTGTTGAACTCATATTATATTTGTTATACAATACAGTATGAGAATAAAGTCTTAGCAAAACATGAACAATTATGCAGAAACTTCCTATTTATATAGCCACTTATGCTATGAAAATAGCAAGTATTTTGCATGTACCTATTTCATCCCTATAACATGTGAGAGCCATACTCTTCATTTTAGCCCATAAGCAAATGCTGCAGGAAGTCTCATGCCATTATGTCTGCTTCTGGCATAAAGTTTATTGTGGGTCTTGCACATTACAAGGAATACCACTAGTGCACGTGCTATACAGATGTATGTACCCTCCATTTTTTGTAAAGTATGAAGCAGCTTTTAGCTCACCATCAAATGTCTGATTTACACTGGGATCATTCCTTCCCCATTTGCAAGTCCATATCCTACTTGCCTAATGCATAAGCTAAATTCTGTAGACTGATGTGTTCTTTTTAGTAGATATATGACAAACAGGGAGGGAAAACAGATGTGGGTCATGGGAGAAAGGCACACATCAAAGAACACCATCAAGTACTGAAGAAACCTCACGAGGTTCTAACAACTGTGTTTGAGCCCTTGCTGAAGAAAGAAGAAGTCACAGAAGAATGAGGAAGGGCAGATATATAATGTCTATATTTTAAAAACACAAAAGAGAAGCTGAGGAGTTATAGACCCATTATTCTGACTTTTATACCCTGGGAATTATTAGATCAGGTTATAAATCAATCTGTTTTAAGCACCTATGGGAAAACAGGATAATTGCTAGTAGCTGGCATAGATTTATGAAGATGACAACAGGGAAAACCAACCTAGCAGACTTTTGGCAGGGAACTGTTCTACTAGAGCAGGCCAGTAAAATTACTATTATGAATCTTAATTTTAGCAACATAATTAATGTCATTTCGCAGTTGCAAAATGGAAAAGCGGGTAGGAGGAAATAGCAGTAGGTAATGAGTTGTTATCTAGTTTAATATTTGCAGTAAATTAATAATCTTAGTTTACAGGAGGGGAAATCATGCCATGGGAATGTGGTCTCAATATAGCTGTCCCATTCTGTTACTGACACTTAAAGGATTGGA